ATTTGCTTCGGGTCGCGACCAATTTGGGTCGCAACCAGAGTCACGGAACCAATTAAGTTCGTGAACTGAGGTTCCACTGTAATAGGTTTTTCTTTTGTTACGCAGATCACTATTACACTGGATTAGGCCTTACAGCCAATTTAAATTCCTATTTCCTTTAGTTTTGGTTTGCCTGGGCTGGATGTTATGCTAGGTGTTCATTTTGGTTTACTATTTTTATTTTGTGAAATTTTAAAACATCTGTATGAAAGTATACATATTTCTCATTCAAAACTTGTGGTAAAATTATCTCTAATAAAAGGATTATTTCCTCATATGTTTGCACGTTTCAATAAATGTCCTTATTAATACAAGTATCAGATCAGAAAGATCTGAGTTGAAGTTCTATTCAACTATAAATCATTGAGTGAGTCATCTGAGAGATGATGATTTGGGGCCAATCTATCTCAGAGTTGCTGTTGTTAACGTAAAATGATGTAGGATCCTCACATACATTGCCTTGGCTCCTAGAGGGAAGGTGGAATACAAATGTAAAATCAACTCTTATGATGGAGTTCTTCTATTTATGTAGTTTAATGCCCCTTCACCATACTTTTATTTCTTTCATTATTTCTCCCCCTTTTCAATTCCCACTGCAATCAATGTTGATTTGAGGAATGACAGTCAAGGTGTTCACAGGAGGGAGGGTCAAAAAAGTCAAGATGGCAGCCTCTAGTACACTATCTTGAGGATTTTTTAATCTCTCCATCCCATGGACACCCCTGTTCATAGCTTAAGCTGTTTCTGAAGACAGAGCTAGGAGACAAATGAGCTGGGGGTCTTCCCCCCAGCACTTCTCGTTTCTAAAAGAAGGATGGCTAGAAAGCTAACTGTTGTGCTCTTCTAGGGAGAGGAAAGAATTTGTGGGCAGAACATTAGTTGCAGCTAATGCTCACATATGGACGTTGAGCACAATTACTGGTTTTTTTTAAAAAAAATGCAGAGAGCTGCACATTCACAGACAGTTAAGGATTTTAAAAAACATGGCAGTAATTGAAACCTGCAATTATAGTGCAATAGATTGTGAAAAAGAAAGACCTTCCTAAACTCTGTTCTGTACTTAATAATGGAATGTATTACCTCGTGATCATGTTTTAAACACAACGATGCATCCTATGCATTGCATTTTGAATGTTACTACCACTTTTTTTGATGATCTTGTATAGCTTGCAGCACACAGTCGTTGATGTGGACCGAATAGAGATATTGGCAATCCTGATGTTTAGCATATATTACACACAGAGCAATGTATGATAAATCCCCTTTTTAAAAGTAAGGCATGTAAGTTGGCCTGCACAGATGTAACAGGAACATAGTGTGCACCTATCACTGTTCCCATGCACTAGAATTTAGTACTCCTGAGAAGACATACTACCTAGCTCTCTTATGACTCTTGATTCTTTTGATGTTCTATAGCCTAGTATTGTACCAAATTTAACACTCTTATTTTTTTACCTCTTGTATTAAATAAGTTTCTATCTCCATTATTGTAGATTATTCTTGGCACTGTTATTTCCCACCCAGCCTTCTCATTTCAACAACTGTTTTCCTTGGATGTGTATTTGTATATTTGGCACAGACTATTAGAAGTTGGGAACTCTTATTCTGAATTACTTCATTGTATAATTCTACCTTTCCTTTAAATAGCTGTGGGCAGTATGTATGGACTAATTCCATTTATTTCCTATATATGTTTAATATATTAGGCAAAGAAAACATTATTTCATAGCTGATTGATAGTACTGGTACCTTATGTTTCCTTCAAACAAAAATATAAATTTAGCCTATGTTCTGGGGCACAGGCTTTAACACTGGTTGATTCATCCAGGACTTGTACCTGCTTCTTAAAAAGGGAATTTGTTTACACATACAGGAAACAAAATATGCCCATCACTGAGCATCTGCTGGTACACTGCATAGTTGATAGGGTACAGACAATAATAATTGCAAGGTAGTGTCTTGATTAGACATACTGTATGAATTTGCAGAGACCTTGATCATGTTCAGGGCAAAACTAGGCTTTGGTGGAGCTCATGGCCAAAACTAAGCCAGACTGTCTTAACAGGAAATTCTGCATGTGGCTCAGGAATGACTACAGCTGGAAATCTGATCTATACTTCATCTGTCTTACTAAACAGTGTAATATGAAAGTCTGAACTGACCAAAGCCATCATGGGCAGTGAAGGTCAATATCTATCATCTGATGACAGCCATGGCATATGCAACTTGGAATGTAAAGGAAGAGTAAATAGTAAAGGGTATTAAATGAAAGAAAAGTAATAAAAATAGATATGTTGTTTATGATATAATAGATATGAAGGCAGTCCGATCTTGTGAAGTTGAGTACATGCTTGGAAGTGAGGGTATGGATGAAAATTAAAATGGAGAAGACCCTGATGTTTAGAAAAAATTGGCTAACAGAAGACAAGGTGAGCTAGATACTGTGACTGACATGAGCTAAGTTTAGAAGTCAAAGATGCAGTTATCCAGAGACAATCGTAGTAAAATGATGCCCATCAGGTCATGAGGTGGAAGTAACTGAACAACATTCTATTTCAAAATTATCCCTCACTTGCCCCAGTACTGACTGGGTTAGTGGGTTCATACAACATGCTATCTCTGCCACTGACATGATTAAGAATGCCATATTAATGTGCCTCACTCTTAACATTTTATAAATTCCATTTTTTTTAATTTAAAGAATCTACTTGCTACTATTTTTTTCTTTCTTACTGATAAATTGTATTTGCAATTATTGTAGGATATAGTAATTAGGAACCAGTCGGCTTCATTACAAACAGCTTGTTTATTGCAGCCACAGATCTCGCTATACACAACGGAAGAAAAGACAGGAAAGACAGTATCATTTATATTATCAACATTTACTGGTTGGAAATTGTTAGACTTTAGCAGAACTCCTTTTCATGAACAATGAAAAACAAGATAAGATGATGCAGGATCACAAGTAGATGATCTTACTTACCAACCACCACTTTTTAATTTTAAATTTATTTATTTAAACAAGCACACCAAACTTTAATGGATTAATCATTTAATTAGAAATGTTTCACACAATAGTTTTATGAACCTCAAACTTATAACCCATTATTATTAGAAAGCAACATTTCCAAGGCACATGTTTTAAAGCTTTCTAATTTAGACAAGTTAGTATTCTGAAGATGCTAGTGCAAATAGAAGTGCTGTTGTAGAAAGTAATCTCAATGTGATCCAACTTATCAAATAATAGGTTATAAATTGTTAATAAACTATATTATGTAGATTATATAATACAGTTACATATACTGCATAGGTAATGCAGTATACTTACAATGTATTAACCACAATCATTACTTTGCTCTAATATTCAATATCCAGGTCATGACACAGGTGGGTGTGTGTATGTGTGTATGTTATTTTCTAAACAGTAATTATATTAGGTTCAGATGTATAACATACATTTCTGGCAAGAAACTGCATGCACAAATGTAAGTTGTACATTAATGTAACATTAATGACTGAATGCATGGGAAAGTACCGATCCATTTCAAAATTGGAACATATTGATCATATATTGGTAACTCAAGATTACAAATAGGAATGTAGACACTGGTAATAAACCTATTGTGCACATTAGTACCAAAATCTATCCACAGAATTTAATTCTACCATGACACCAAAGATTATTTTGTTAACCTGGAAGCACTGAAGACTTGTAATGTTTGAGAGTTTTAACAACTAAATATATATATATAATAAACAATTTTCCATCTGAATGACTGGAGCAGAAAAAACAAAAATTGATATATTCCTCATTTGCCTAATGAAATGCCTAAATGTCTCTTGGGAGACAAGAAGCAATCTTGTAAATGTTTTGTAACTGACAAGGGAAAAAGATTGGAATTATATTGTTAATGTATTTCTTATATTCTAGATGACCCTCAAAGCTAGTTTCTATGGACAGGAGTCTTCTGCCCCATTCAGTGATGAAGCATCCTTCCTAGCCAAAAAATATTAGCAAAAACCATAACTTTACCCTCAATACCTAGCATGTGAGAACTAAATCACTATTGGGGATGAAGGAAGCAAAATAAAGGAGAAAAGAAATCTGTAGATTTCTCCATTGCTCTTACAACAGGTTCTCACTTGAAAAGTGCTCCTTCAAGAAAATAAGCGGTGACCTCTTATCTAGTCTGAGAGGCACCACTAGGCCAGTGTGTCTCTTGCAGTATTTTCATCTCTATAAGTAGCAGTGTCCCAGCCTAAAGCAGAGTAAAATATTTTCCTAATGTAAGTGGGGATGTGAGGAGAGACATCTCTGTTATACTGTTATTGATCACAGAGACCAAGTGGAGTAGACTGTGACATCCTTCTTACCTCTGGCAGTTATGAGGGTAGAAAGACTGATGAATTTGTTTTGCTAGGCAACAGACTGGGAAGCAGGGGAAGAAAAAGCAGAAAAGAGAAGAATCCTGCATGGATTTAAGCCTAATGTTAGTTGTAAAGTAACACCAGATACAACTCAGGCTATAGCTACTGAGTTGAAAGAAGGCTATTACGGTGCTTATACATATTTTCAGAAGGGAAATGACTTAGGGCGCTGCTATAAAACACCAAGAGGCTGAGACTGAACTGCCACACCCTATGAGCACCTGAATAAATAAAATTGAAAATAAAGGATTAGCTGCTTTTCTCAAAATCATAGACCATTTGAAATGAATAAATGGTATTTTATTTGAGATAGCCAAAGTACTGGCTAACAGTAGAAAATAGGCAAATATTGTAGACCTAATAGGCATGGGAGGTGGGCATCCCAAGGACCACTTTCTTCAGTATGCTCTTCCTTGATCCTCTGTCCGTAATCAGAGGCCTCTTCCAGATCCCTCAGATACGAGGAAGAGGAGAAGGATCAAGGAGCAGGGTCTTTGTGGTAGCAGCCTCCCCTTTCCACACAAGATCCAAGGGACCCCTGCACTGTCTTTCCTTTGAGAAAATGTTTCTTCCTCTGAGGTATTCCCAGAACAGCTGAGGATCCCTTTTAATCTCTGATTTTCTTTACCTCAGTCCCCCCAAAAAGAGTCGTGGTTCTCATATTGCTTGGTATTTCATGGCTGCCAGTAATCTTGTGTTCCTTTTGGAGAAAAGTCGGGATATGATTTTTTTGAAGAAGACGAAGTAAATAAATAACAGAAGGCTTAGCATCGCAACCCAGGAGTAGGGCAGAAAACGTCCCTTCGACGACAGCCAGCAGAAAGTGGGCCGCCTCAATAACAGGCAGGGCTCGATTGGGCTAAAATTCTTTAATGGTGAATCTCCGCCGGCAGATAAAAGAGAGGCAGGGAGGGGAACGTTTCCTTCTTCCAGGCCGCGGCTCTGGAGTTGCTTCTCCTCCCGTTTTCCGGCTCCCCGAGGTGGCGGCGCTTCCCTTCTGCAGAGCCTCCCGGCGCGGCGGGGCTTGACCTCCAGCCGTCTCTCCTCCCCTTCGCGCAGACGGACGAGGGCTCG